TATCGTCCCAGATTAAAATGCAGTGATGTGTTCAATAGAGTGCTAAAATAGAACTGATAAGATTTTCTCTTCTTCCTCCAGATAGGCTTCCTAGCCCCCCAACAAAGAGGGCAAATGAACCAATACAAGCATTTGCGTATATAGTGTTTAGAAAAGCAAATTAGAAAGAAAATGTGTTTGGTCTAGTTTTGTAAGGTACAACTCAGTGCGTTTTAATGTGTATCAATCCCTGTGCCAATACTTACATTACAACCTTCACTTTTCCCTTCTGAAGTTCTGGAACATCTCTATCTTTGAAGTGGTGGCCCTCATTTCTTTATAAAAGGCTGAACTTACCATATATCACATGATAAGAAGTCTGGGCAGTTTATGTCAGAATTAAATGGAATTCTGAACTAGTCTCGCTGTCATAGGTGTGCCTGAAAGGTTGTTGCCTGAATAACTTTCTTTATGCACACTCTATTTACCTGTCTAGCTTTTCTATTTCTTTATTTTCCCATTGAGTTTATTGGTCCACTTTAGGTATAGAATGCAGTTGCATTCATCATTAGGATCTTACACCTTTACATCATTTATCTTGGTTCTTATTTTTTCCCCACTCCTCTGCTCTTCCTTCACCCTCTCCACCCTTCCTTATTTTAAAAGACTTTGTTTCCACTGTTTCCTTTTCTCATATTTTTCCCTTTTTACCATTCCCATGCCCTTCCCATTTCCACTACTCCTTTAGACCTTTTCTTCCTATTATGAAATATCAATTATGCATATTTACCCTTATTTACACTTTTAGTTTTTCATACCAGCGAAACTATTTAGCATTTACACGTTTGCCCTACTAATTTCACTTAAATGGCCTCAATGTGCATCCACTTATAAATGTCACTAGTTTCTCATTCTTTAAGGCTAAGCAGTATTCCATTTTATTTTTAAAAAATGTATCTTCTTTATCTGGTCTCTCGATAGATCTTATTAGTTGGAATCCAGTCAAACTCTTAACTGTTCCTCCCACTGAGGAATGGATTCTGCCTTCTGTCGGTACTTCACTATGAATGGATTACTCACCAAAACCCATAGTCAGAATCCTCTTAACCAGAGTCTGACTACTTTCTGGCCTCATGCCCCTGATTTTAGACACTAGTGAGTCTGGACACTTTCCAATATTGGCCTGGCCACAAAACTCTGGGCCAAGTAGTATGGACCACTTATTTCTCTCACTGTTGTGATACCGTTTTAAGAATAAGTAGTGGTCTATCCTTGGTTGTGCCATACCCTGTACTTCTCCCACCACCCTGTTTGCTAAGAGATTGCTTAGAAGAAACACTTACAGCTCCTCTGATGCCCAGGTTCCCTGGATATAGCTCAGTGGGACAGATGTGGTAAAGCAAATCAAATCACTGGCTAGGGTTGGAATTGTTTTTTAACTCCCTAAAGCTGTATTTATTTCTTATAATAGTTAGGATTTTATCACTCACTCCCTATCATAAACTGAAAGCCCCAAATAGATGCCCTTCACATATAGCGACAATATAAGATATGCCCTTTGAGTTTGTTTTCCATCAATCAGCTCATATGACCTCCTCCCACCAGCTCTGCCTTGCTCCCACACACACTAGCACATGGTTTGGTTGTTAAGTGTTCTGGGACTGCCTTGTTAAGCAAGAGTAAAATCACCTAGACTATTTAATGTGTAGCCACTATCTCTACCCATATGCTAAAGAAACCAAGATGACTGAACTTCAGACCTGAGTGGGGTAACATCTAATTTATACCAGATATATGCCCTATTTTAAATCTATTTATTTTGCAATTTAAAATATTTAAAACACTATTCTGCATGGATAGTTTTCGAAAATGATTGTGCTAGTTCTTCTTTCACTTTGGATTTTACATTGTACTTTTTTCTGTTTGTTTGTTTGTTTTTTTGGCACCAGCGATCAAACTCAGCACCTCACACTTCCCAGGCAGTCGGCAGCACCACTGAGCTAAATCCCTGGCCCACTGTGGATTTTAAATATGATGACTTAAGTCAACATTTTGGACATCAAAACTTTTTGCTATGTCCCCCAATATTATCTAGCATAGAGTATAGTTCTTGGTTTCTCAAATAGGTATTCTCATAATGTTTGTTCTGTAAAGCCTTATTATGTCTGATGCTGCGTCAAGGTTTTATCATCTATACCTTTGCATTTTTTGCCTTTGCTTATTGCTTAAAATATTTTTCCTTTTAATATCTTTTGACCCAGAGGATGAGCTAACCATCTTTAATAGAATAGGTCATGACATAAAAATGCATTGGTTCTGACTAAATGCCTAAGGGTATCTCTTGAGAATACATATACAAGCTTTTAAGGAGAATGATTTTTGAAATACAACAGTTCATAGCTGTCTGTGCCCATTTGATCTGTCCCTGCAAATACTGAGAATAACATCAAGGCTAGAAAAACATTGCCATTTGTTCCAAATATCGTTTTTTAATATATTTTTATTGCTACATTTTAGGTATACGGTTACACTCATCATTGGGAACTTGTACCTTTACATGATGTATCTTGGTTCTCATTTTTTCCCCATTCCCCTAGCCTCTCTTCACCCCCTCCACCCTTGCCTATTTTAAAGTCTTTGTTTCCATTTTTTCCTTTTGTCTTACTTTTTCCCTTCTTATCCCTACCCCTCTCACTTCCTCTACACTTTTAGACCATTTTATCCTATTATACAATATCAATTATACATTTTGATCCTTATTTACACTTTTAGTTTTTCACACCAGAGAAACTACGCACGTGTAAATACCATATAGTTTCTGAGGTGTGTTCCAAATATCTTAATAGCAAATCCACATCATCCAAAAATACAGAGAGAGAGAGAGAGAGAGAGAGAGTTCACACAGGTGCACTCTTTTTGTTCCAAATATCTTAATAGCAAATCCACATCATCCAAAAATACAGAGAGAGAGAGAGAGAGAGTTCACACAGGTGCACTCTTCTGTCCACAGACTAAAATGCATTTTCTGTTTCGGAAAATCTAAAACACTTAGGCAAGCTTGGAGGAATCTAGGGATGCATAGTTATTGCTACATTGTTATGTGTGCTCACTTGGTTCCCCCTATCCCCCAGGAAAAACCAGGTAGCTGCTACTTTGTACGCTGCAGTTTCCTGAATGATGGAGTCATCAGAAGTATAAGGTATCTCTTTTCTTCCCAGTTGCTTCCATTTCTTAAAAGTAAATAATTAAAACAATCACTTTACCTAAGTGTTCTCTGCCTCTTGCTCCTCACAAATCTTTGCTGGTGGAAGATTCTGAATAACAGTAGGAGGCAAAATTAGCAAGCCCGGCTGCACAAACTACATGAAGACAGATATAAGTCAAGCTGTGTTCTTGGTAGCCACCTTCCTACACAGTCACTCTCTGCATTAGAATCACAAACTGAGACGTACTTGCCTTTGATCCTTGACATGGAAACCAAGGAGGCATTTTGAAAACACTCTAGAATTAAACGTAAAGCATAAAATGAATACTCAGCATCAAAGTCTCACACGTTATCTTCTTGGCCAGGTTGATGGTTTGACACCATCACTCATATTAAGAAAACTAAAAAGTTCCCAATTTATCATTTAGGTCAATCTCTCCACGAGGTGAGAAAATAAACAGTCATTGTACTGAAGACTAGAAATAATTTCACCAAGCTTTGAAAATGTTCCATTTTAAATTGTGATGAGTGTTTTTAAAAATGGGCCATTCTAACTAATATCATACAAAGCAGCATTGTCATAACTCCGAGACCTTCTCTTAATGTTGGACATTAAAAACAACATGTGAAACCTGTGTTTGTTTAACATAAGAGATGGTTTGGGTGCTACCGATAAGGAACTGTACAATTAATAAATTCTACAAAACTAACAAATATGTAAAACTAACCACATTCAGATGGGGGATTCTTGAAGGATGCACATATTTGGAAAAAAAAAGACAGAAGAAAGAGGGAAAGAGGGTTGGCTGGAAGGAAAGAAGGAGAAAGAGAAAGAGGAAGCAAGGAGTTAAAGATACAAAGGAGAATGAATAAAAGGTACTGAGTTTCTGTGCTCACTCCACTCTGCTTTTCACAATCCCTGGATAGTACATCATGATCAAACTTTTAGAAATAAGCCTTATATGTATAGTAAGATAAAGTGTCATGTGTCCCTCTTCAGAAGATCCATAAGAAACAGAATCCTAAAGAAATGCTACCATTTTCCTCTCCAGCATGTTAGGTTTGTCTGCATGACCGCCTGACCCTCTATCTCCACCTAGCATTCTGGCTGCCTGATCAATGGTGCACCTGTCTGCTCTCCACCTATTATGCATTTCAGGTAGGAGGTAGAAGTGTTACCTCCTTTTTTCAGACTCCTTCATCATATACAACTGCTGTTTCCAACCTGGGTATAAAAGGAAAGTGTATTTTCATAAGTTATTTCTATGTCACATCACTTGAGTTCAGACAGAACAGCAGTGTGGAGAATTCTCTCCTCTGCTCAGGCTAAACTATGGCATCATGCTGCTCCTCTCCCAGGATTCTTCTATAATCTGATGTATATAGCCTTGCCCTAAAATGCACTTATCCTTCTTTATATGAGTTTAAAATTTTCCATTGCTAAAATAGCAAAATGTAACATAATGTAATGTGGTGTAATGTAATGTGGTGTTTCCTTCCAGTCTTTTTTTCCAAAAATGCACTTATCCTTGACCTTGTTGATATTGTAAATATTTTATTATCCATTACACTATTACTCTGATGCTTTTTGGTGAAGGCCCTATTTGCATCATTGTGCTTTCCTTATATTTTTAGCTAGTGGAAGTAGCATAGTACAAAGAGAGGTGATACAGGACTTCTGGATTAAACAGGGAAGTTTAGATTCTCACCTTCACATGTGCATGGTGTGTGAACGACTTACATATCCTCTTTGTTTTAGTCACTTTATTCATAACTGCGTCAAAATACCCGAGACTCCTATCTTGTTCTTTTTTTTTAAAAAATGGAATGCTTCACGAATTTGCGCGTCATCCTTGCTCAGGGGTCACGCTAATCTTCTCCGTACCGTTCCAATTTTAGTATATGTGATGCCAAATCGAGCACTGAGACCCATATCTTTAGGAGAGATTTAGTTTGACTCAAGGCTGTCAGAAGATGCAGAACACAGTCTCTTGGCTACAAAGCAGCAAGGGCATGAGAATAGCATGGGTATGGCAGAGGAAAGCTGCTCAGGTCCTGCAGCCCATGCAACAGAGAGAGAGAGAAGGGAGAAGTAGAGACAAGAATGCACCCTTCCAGGTCATGCCCCAGGGACCTGCCTCTTCTGTTCAGGTCCCACCAACCAACAACACATTCAGCTATGGATTGATCTGTGATTTAATCCACTGTTGAGCGAGTACCCCAGTGAACTGATTGTCATCAAAAAGCCTCACCTCTGAACACGTGAGGTTTTCGGGGGATACTTTAAATCTAAATCATAACACTGCTTCTGTTTTCTCATCTAGATGTGAGTACAGAAATGCAAGTTTCAGATGATGGCTTTGACTGTCAATGTTAGGCAGCCTAGGCGCAACATCTAGGCAGTCACTTAATGTAGAAGAGGTACATCTAGATACGATATGTATCTATTCAGTAGAAGATCCAAATATTCATATTTATGTGGGGTACTCTGAATAGTAGCATATATTTAAAACTACCTGTTTATTCAGGAATATCTTATTGAGTACTCAAGCATATGACAGTAAAACACTCGTTTATTCAAAGGATTTCTTTAAATTTGTATTTAAATCAGTATATCAGAAAATTACTTTCTTTGTGTTTTGTTTTGTTTTGGTACTGTGGATCGTTCTCAGGCCCTTGCACTTACGAAGCAGGCAGAAGAACCACTGAGCCAAATCACCAGCAGAAAATTACTATTTTTTTTATCATGTTTCATAAAGGATTTGTTCTGTTATTCCCAGTTTTCTGGCTATTTAATTGTATCTAAGATCAATACCCTCAAAAGCAAAGCAAACAATAATAAAATTCTCATTTTAATAGATGTGTTTTCAGAGGAGAATAATTTTATTTTCTTTTACAAGTGGATCATAATTAATTCTCTGTTAACATAGGGAAAAAGTATCTCCAGAAGTTTGATGAGTGCTCCTAAATAGCACATCCATCCTTTCACCTAGATGTACTGACTGCTGTGTGTGGTAGAACACAGTACTAGGCACTGCAGGGAAACACAAAATAGAAGATACTTTTGCAGTCAGACCTTCTCAAACAAATATGCAGGAGTGCTTTAGTTTGCCTGTATCCAAAATGATTCTTATCTTCTGTCTTAAAGATTGCAGATGGCTGTAATGGAAATTGGACCCTCGAGTAAGCAGAGGTTCATTTTTCCAGTTCAGAGCTGTGTTTCTGTGAGCAGCTAACTCATCTTCTCAGAGCAACCTCCTCACGTGCAAAGTGAGTTTTATATAAGAGCTCACGATCTTTAATAAAGTTCTTGCCATTAACTTATATTCATTTGTTTTCCAGTTTTTCTCTATTTATAACAAATCCTTATGAAGTTTTATAAAGATTAAATGATAAAATATATCTAAATGCCCACGGTAATACCTTTAGAAGTCTAGAAATTACTAAATTCTAGTTCAGTTCCTTAATGCAAATGTTCCTAAAGAGAGATGTTCCTGGTCAATTTTTCTTTTTAAGGATTATCTAATAGTATTATTTTTAAAGTATGAACTTTTATTTGCTTACTGGTATTGAGGAAAGCAAAATAAAACATTAATGGATGTGTATCAGGTTCTGTATCTGAGAGCATCAGAAATAATGCAATGTACATTTGCTTTAGTGGGAATGACAATGTGATTGTTTAATAAAGATCTTAGCTCCCCTGACTCTTGACTCTAGTTTGACTCTGTCCTGCAATCTGTTCACACGGAAAGGTTTAAAGAGGGCATTTCAATATCTGTGATTACCTAATGGTTTTCTTAGATGGAAAGTTTGTAATAGTTCAAGTAGTCAGATGAAATTTCAAGCGTGCAGACTAATTCTTCTGTTGGTCATCTAATTCTGTCTTACTTACTTTTCCCCTTGCTGAGACAAAATATCCGACACCCAAAGTAAAGGAGGAAAGGTTTATTTATCTCATAGCTTGTAAGGGTTTCAGCGGACCCAAGGCATGGTGGCATGGCAGACAGGCATTGCAGAGGAGAAAGAGTTTGTGGTGGGCAGAAGGTATGAAAGCAACAAGGGGTGGCCACAGCTTTTTTCCATCCTTTATATCTTATCCATGCTACCTAGGGAGGGTTACACTCACATTCTTTATCCTAATGCCCTTGAGCCTAGCAATGCACCACGAATCAATGCCAGCATCGTGTACTCTAGATCCAGCCACCTCTGGAAAAGCCCCATCTATGACCGCATGAGTTATTGGAGAGACATCTAAACACCAACCATAACAAATAACACAGTCATAAAATTTCCAATTCATCAAATATGAACTGATAAAGCAATACTTTTGACCCTTGGAACTCCTGCTAATCACATGAACATCATCAGATCGCATGACTCCTTCTTTGTTCTAAGGATATAATCATTTACATTGGTTCCAACATTTATTTCAGGGTTTTTATTGGCTTATTAAAAACAGAACCAGTTTGCACAAATGACAGGCTCACATATTAATAAGCTTAGAATGTCTACAACATGCCAGTCCTTGCCAACACAGAATTGACAAAGACAGCTCCTCATCTGGAGGAGCTGCTAGGCCAAGGGGCCTGGAATTGCTGTCACTCCTCTTATTAACTCAGAGAACCTCTGTAACTCCTCATTTGGGTGGGGTTTCTCACCTAGTCACACACTCCTACTCTAATAAAAATCTGCTCCACATAGGAAAGATAAGGGAAATAAGTGATGTTTACTCGGAATCGGTCCTGTAAACACAGCACGGCCTGCTGGCCTCTGGACCCCCAAGTGCTTGAACATGAATTCAAGCCCGAGGCAGCCCCCACCCCCATTCCAAGCAATGGCTGCTGTTGCAGGAATTATTGCAGTTAAATTAAGCTGTTGCCATAGATTTTTTTCTTGTATATATTCCTATCTACCAGGATCTTAGATTGCTGTTGCCATGGGGCTCAACTTTGGTACTAAATATTTTGAAGGGGCTGTTAACTAATTCCAGTATCTGCCCTTGGCTCAGAACATGTTAATAGTGAGATTTCTTTCTTTTTGTATTTTAGGATCGTTCTGGAATAGTGTCCTTTTTCTAACCTTAACCTATGAGTTTAAACTATAAGATACATTTTAAGAATCTCCCCCTCAAAAAGGATAGGTTTGGAAAGGTAATTTCTAACTCTATTTCAGGGGGAAAAGAATATAGGAATGAGAGAAAATCATTCCTGAACAATATATGAAACATAAGTGGGTTCATTCATATATACATAGATAAGTGAAGTTTTAAGTTTCACTAGCTAAAAGTTAAGGTAGGAAATCTTAGGCATAATTTAAAAACACATTTGCAACCTAGAATCTTTTATGGAGGGGAACAGGGACCCAACTTGAGTTTTTAAGGCAGGCGCAGTGACACTGAGGTAAATCGCTAGCCCTGCAATATAACATCAATTTGGACTTCTTTTTTATAGGGACCCCTTAAGTCTTCATTTTGCTATTAGTTTCAGTTTTGCTATTTTTATTGTGCCTTTGCTATCTGCCATTTTATCTGTTTGCGTAGTTCTTAGGAGACATTGTTGACTAAGAAGCCACATCTGATTGGCGCTATTTAGTTTCCTGTTCTTTTCCGTTGATGTTGTCACCAGAGGCCTTCCTTCCTGCTAGTGGACTGGCCCAAAGAAACCTATTGAGGTGGTAATGACAGGAGAAAGGAAGCTTTTTACTGCGGGAGTAAGAAAGATCGCTTAGAAAGAACTCTGCAGGTGAGGATCAAGGAAACCTAGTAGGGGGCAATTATTACAGTGAAAGTAAGAAATAGTACACTAAGTCAGTAACAATATGATAAAAGAAACAGGAGAGATTTGAGTTATTAAGACAGCAGAACTGGCAGAACTCAAAGGACAAATGAGCATGCCTGATGGCAAAAGAATGAGAAAGACTTTTCAGTTCTGTTAGTCCAGCTAAGGAACACAGAATGGAAGAAAGGAGGGGCAAGTCAAGATGGAATACTGACCTGAAGAGGTACTTAACACGCAGGGCAAGGCCTGAGTCTGAAGCTTGGGAGAGAGGTGGGCAATGGATAACAGGAGCCCGCAGTGCTGAATTTAGTTGAAACTTTGGAAACAGGCAGCATCCATTGTAGAAAACGTAAAGGGAGCTTAAATAAGAAAGCTGAGGATAGATAGATGGATATGATATATTTAATGGGAATATGGAGGCGGATAAAAGAGAATCAGCTGAAGTTTTGTAGAACAGAATGAAGAATTCACTGATACCAAGGGAAAAAGAAAGTTTTAAGGAGGAAATTGACAGTATTAAAGACCAATGAGGGGCCATATTGGTGGAGTACGAAAAACTTCTACATAGTTCAGCAATTTTAAGTTATTGTGACTTTCAGGAGAAGGATGTGGTAGAAAGGTAGGTAAAGAGCTAAGAAAGATGGAAAATAAAGTAATTGTTGGAGAATCTTGAGGGACGTAAATTCAATCTGCGCTACTTAATTTCAGGGAAGGCAGGTACCAAAAAATTTGTTGTTGGAGTTCCAGGGAAATATAGGGATTGAGAAAAAACTAATGAAAGTGCTTTAGTGAGTCTTAAATTGGTTGATTCGCTGAAAGTAATGCAAAAAGCTGAAGCTATCTTCCAGGAAAAGAGGAAAACATGGGAAGGGAGAGATTTTTCTGAGTCATGCGCCTAAACTTACAGTGGACAATCCAAGGTGACTAGAAATGGAGCTTCTCAGACTTTAATTAGCATACGAAATGGAAGGAATTTTGTTTAAATCCATGTCCTGAATCACTATGCCTAAAGTTGGGCCTGCAATTTCTCATTTCTAACACACATTCAGACACAGTTCATGCTCCTAATTTCCTGAAAACACTTAAAAAATAAGAATAGGAGGTGGAATGAAGAGTCAGGTAACATGGGCTATCAGGTGTCATCAT